GGGGGGGGGGGGGGGGGGGGGGGAGTCAGCAGCCGACCGCAAACGAGGCTAACGAATACGATTAACGGGCGGTTAATGGTGCGTAGGAAGGGCGACTTCGAAACAAGCAGTGAATGCCCTTTGAAGCGCGAGAAGAGGCTGGCGAGGGCCGAAAGTGGAACCCCCAGTGGGCGAGGAGGTGACGGGGTGAGGGGGTAGTCGATGCGATATTGCCGGCAACGCGCGGCACCTTTAAGCGCTGGGATTAAGTGCTACGTAAATTCTCGGTTGGGACGGCTTCCTTCCTTCCTTCCTTCCTTCCAACCTCCCTACCTACATCCCTTACATGTTTTCCTCTCTTCATCCCTTCATCGCTCCATTCCTATCTTCCTTCCTTCATTTCCACCTACCTTACTCCGTATAAACAATCATCGTGCCTCTCTCTTTCTCTCTCTCTCTTATTAAGGGTTGCTGATATCTTACGGGTTGGAGAAGAGGGCCACTTGGCTTTTTAATTCCTCGACTTGTAGATGCTAAACCCCTTCACTTGGGATTTTATATACTTGAGAGTATGAAGTATGCGCTTGTACGATCGAATTCTCGTCTGCGAATCTACGAGGGGTACTTTTCTTCCTTCAAAGTTCTCCTCAATTTCCTTATTCATTTTCTTCACACCGACGCCTCCTCCCGCCCTTTATTTCTTCTATGCCACTATCTCGTCGGCTGTTTTATCGTGCCAGCCACTTTTTTATTTTTATCCGGGCAGTCGTGATGACAGTCAAGATGTCCTTCTAAGGAACAAGACTCTGTTCCCTTTATTACCATTTTTTTGTTATATAGCCGTTTGTATTTAGCCACTTGAGCATCAAAATTTAATAATCACGAGTGTCTCGTCTCCCATTCCCCATCTGCGACAATTAAGCGTGAATTTTCTTCGCACGACATTTTTATCCAATGCATAATTTTACAGTTTTTTCTTACTGTATTATTGGATCATGACTTTGTTTTACAAATTGGTGTATGAGCTGTTAAAAGAATATATGCTAGAGACTTCATGAAGATAGAACTTCGTAGGAGGCTACAAAACAAGGACATTCTTTATTTTTGTTAAAATCGTACGAGTCAATAATTATTTCTCGAGAGGTAATTTATTCTCATTGGGATAATTTAATGTTCAATGAAAATGCAATAGTTTCCCTTATGAATAATTTATTTATCGAAAAATAATTTATATATATATATATATATTGGAATAAATTTGAATTTGTTTGAATAAATAATATATTTATATATATTTTATAGATCGAGGGTAATTTATCTGCTGACATCTCTCGGGATACACCGAAAAGTTATGTGCAGTACAATGACGTTGGTAATTTAGAATACTGCATTATCATATGATAATACAAAACACATGTGCAGATCGAAAGATTATATATATTATTCATTATTAATTTATTCATTAAAATTACAAGTTTAACCATAAAAAAGTAATATTTAAATTAATACTTAATAGATAATATAATAAATATGGTTACATTTTTACCAAACAAATTTCCAGTACCCAGAGCTGTTTATATTACAATCATATTATACATAATTTCTGTCTTACATTAACTGCAGTTTATTCTACGACTTTAATGCCTTAATAAAATGTATTAAAGTGCATTACTATAGATCTTTGAGAAATTGTCATGTAACGTAACATACCACTAACGCATGCTTGACTGCAAAAGTTATTAAGAGTTACAAGCGATATATATATATATATATATATATATATATATATATATGAATAGGTCACTCACGCACACGTATGCACACATGATAAACGCGCGCATCCCTACGTAGACGTTTCAGTCTTTAATTTTGATAAAACTATTGATTGTATCGCAAAATTTCGTTTCATTCATTTTTTAATTGTTTAATATTTTATTGAATTTCTCAATATTTATAACGAAAGATTTAAAAAAACAAAAAATATATATATATATATATTTATATACTGTCATTAATATTAATATTATTCTGTAAAAAGTTGTTTACGCGATGAAACCGTGCGTCTATGATAAGCAATATTAAGTTAAGAATTCATAACTACTTGAGCAGTGTTTAAAAAGAAAAAAAAACAATCATTCGAATGATATAGATCGATTATTGCACAAGTCCATCCGATTATAATATATAATGTGGAAAAATTGCATATGATTGCATAAACAGTCAATGCAATAAAGCAAATGAAAAACATAAAGTGTCAATAATATTGAAAATTTTGTAAGGAATGAAGCATTCAAGGTAATAAATAATATTGATGCGTACAACTAACAAAAGTAAGTAATTTTAATAAATGACAGAGGTAACAAATGATGCATAAAGATAAATTAAAAAATTTGTGAAATGATGACTGACTTGGTGAATATGATTCTTTTAAAATTAATAACACATACAAATAAAAAAGTGCCTATAATTTATGTAAATTCAACGTCACGGACGTGATTGTCATGAATGTCTTACGATTATGATTATAAAATCAGTAGAAATTCTAGAAGAGATTTACGCTCATCTTAATCATAAAGAGAATTTCTTAAATCGTAAAACTGAATACGCAAATACAAAATTTTTAGTAATGTGATATATTTGACGAACCGACGCAATATGAATAGAAGTAAAATCAAATTTTACTTTTTTACAATACAATACGACGATATTAGCGTATAGAATAAGATAAAAATTAAATGAGTGAGGAGAAGAATTCGACTTAATATCTAAAATACATTTTCAAAAATAATTACTCGCTGATAAAATGTGTACCGCTAGTTTACACTAAACTAATACGCCATTAAGGTGTATACAAGCACAATGGCTAATAATGTTAAATACAGATCATTAAAAACTAAACGAAGAAGGAAAACAAAAAAGATAATAATAAAAAATAAAATAAAAAAGAAATAATAAAATGTAATACCAACGTGCTTATTGAAAATATGAATTCTTCATATATATATATATATATATATATATATATATAAAAAGAAAATAGAAAACGAAGAAAAAAAAGTCATTATTAATAATAATAATAATAATAATAATAACAATAACAACAAAAAATATGTATCACTTCGATTGAAGTTCGCTTCACAGAGTTGTTAATCGACACTTTTATCGTCTCTAAATAAACAAAAAGAGAAAGAAAAAAAGGGGGAGGGGGGAAACTTCACAATAAATAGAAATCATCCAGGTCCTATTAGGAGAGAAAGTCCTCCTCCTTTGTATGTGATGTGATGTGTAAGCCATCACGCGGGGACACAAAGGTCATTAGGAGTAGTGACGGCGTCGGCAATGGCATCGACGGCGTATCACAACTTCTTTAGCTGAGCGTAAGCCCGGAATGGATTTTCTATAAGGCAAGTAAGGACTCCCTGTTGAGCGTAGTAAGGTATCACGGCCTCCTGATACCACGACGACCATCGCGTCTCCATTTCGCAGGCGCACTCCATCGAGAACACCGCTGGAGCTGGAAGTAGCATTGATTGAATGAGGCGTTTATGGCTTATCGCGCCCTCCGTCCTTCTCTTATATTACAAGCGTCAATGGAGGACTCGGCCGAGTCTCTCAATTTCACCATTTCACCAGCTAACCGCCTTTAAGGACAATATTGCCGAAAGAGATCGTAATCCCATGCTCCGCGTCTGGCTACTATACATTATCCTTATCACGACTTGGCACATTTCATTCCTTATTTCTTAATTCCTCCCTTCATCCCTCCCTCCCAGCCGACACGTGCCTGACTCTAATTAATCGCTAATCGAGATAACAAAGTGAGAGAGAAAACTTCATACTTACAGGCGGGATCGTCATAGGTCGTATGTCATAATTGACTGAGACTGGGACATCCATTGTTGAGTCGGTACTCAACGTACATCATACCCGTGTTATGCCAGTAATAAAGAGCTGCGACCACCAACACATGCCACCATTGATGAGACGAGCCGACGTAATCGACCCAACCTGCACATCAATTCGATAAGTTTATTAATAAATTGTCGCTTCGACTGACTGTGCGATCATTGCGGTGAATTCATCTTATTTAACAAGACAAAACTACAATTTTCTGCTTTTTTCCTGAGATTTTTTTCTTCTTCTACAACTTTCTTTTCTTTTTTTTTCTACAGTCTTCCTTTGATTAAAGAGATTGATTTATTTATTTATTTATTTATTTTTTTTTTTTTTTTTTTTTTTTTTTTTTTTTTTTTTTTTCTTACCAACCTCATCGCACATTTATCTCTTATATTGGCTAATTAATAACAATATTTCTTAATTATGCGTTCAGAAGTTTTTGCGTTCAGAAATTTCGAATGAAAAATTCATTTTTACCTCGAGAAGCTTTTTTACTTTACGCGCATTTTTTACACTTTTATCTCCCTCATAGGCCAGATTTCTATTCCCATTCCTTCAACTGCGCGATAATCCTATTATTCGCATTCGGCATATATACGGCGAAATAACACATATTATTATTTCATAATCGACATTACAAACATCCATACTTACAAGATATAAAGAGAAATTCAGAAATTTCAGCGGCCATTTAAATAATGATGATTGCGCACGTGAAACGCGCGATTATAAAATTTCGACGATTGGAGTCGAAAATTTTGCATTCTCCGCTTTTCCAGCCTAATGACGCCATTAATTGTTAAAGTTTTCACGAGACATTCTTTCTAAGACTGTCGATTAGGAGGTGAAGATACGTTGAATGTGCAATGCGAAATAGAGAATGTTCCTCGAAATGTAGGTTAAATTAGAAAATAAGATATCGAAAAATGGCCGGTAATACAAGGTGATTGGAGGTGTTGGTGTGAAAAAATTTTTCACGTGGCTGATAATTGAATATTTTAACCGAAGCTCGGATTAATTAAGTTAAAGGCCAAAGACAAAAAGGAATTAGCCTACTATTTGCGAATCCGGCGAGGAGGGAGCTCCCGAGCCTAATAATACCAGGCTCTTATTAAACTTATCATTAGACTTTTTCCAATTAGCAAACTCCTTGAGCTTGAGCCATTCGCTCATCCATTCGTTACCAATGGCGAAGCTCCCGTTCGAGCGTCTAACGACACCTCCATCGTTCGTAAAACATTCTCCCGAGTCGTGGCCCGTTTAATAAATAAATAATACGCCGAGGCTAAACGCTTACCTGGAAACAGTCGTTCCGGTATTTTACTGAAATAAATTAAGAAAGCTGCCCCGCTGATGAGATACATGCCCAGGACTCGCGGTAGCAGGAGACTCACAACCGGATTTTGCATCCCGCCCATTGCAATGGTCCAGTGTAGAGTGGGCAGGACGCCGTAAACCGCCCAGCCGACGAATACCGCAAGCTTGATGTTGTCGTTGACCTGATATCGCGGCAGCTGGAGAAGCATCGCCACGATGAAGATGGCCAGTACGGTAACGAGATAAAATCTTTGCAATTGCTGAAAGTGAAATGCTCCGTATAAGCGACACAATGCACAGTGGCCGTGTTGATTCGATAAAATATATAAATATTCCGACGATTATAACGATCAAAAGATACAACTCTTTCTACGATATTACAATATATATATATATATATATATATATATATATATCTCGCGTGCGTGCGTGCGTGCGTGCGTGCGTGCGTGCGTGTTAAACTTGTTTTAAAGGAGAGAACAGTTCAATTTCATTCTAACTATATATTTTAAAAATACATGACTCGATCTTTCCACTAGAGAATGAAGTTGGCGTAATCGTTGCAAATTCTCGGATATTAACATAACTGAAGACTATTTAAAAAATTGCGATAACAGTATGACGTTTTTTTTTCTTTTTTTTTTTTTTTTTTTTTTTTTTTTTTTTTTTTTTTTTTTTGTTCAAACGAATCTATTATTAATTGCGAAATTGTACGTTGTACGTTAATCATTATAATGGAGCTTAATGATAACTTTAAAAAATTTTCTTCGTGAATGTGAATTGGCTTAGATTTATGAAAATCAGTTGGATATTTCGTTTTTCTTTTCTAATCATTACAGTCGAATTGATTCAAGAGGGATAAACGTGAAATGCAACTTCTTGCTTCTAGTCCTCGCTCGCTTATCAATACTGAATTGACAGTTGCTTTTACAAAAGTCGTTGGAAACGGTATTATGTGCAATTGGGTAAGACAATCGTTATTTTGTATATATATAATTGGCATTGTACCAATATTTTACCTTATGACACCAAAATGCATAATAAACTCCTGACATGTAAATAGCCAGTAAACTGAGAGCGACTCCTAAAAGATCATAGGAGAGAAAATACCAGTAATCCTTTTCGCTACGGCAGGAAAATGTATGATATACCGATGAAAGTATCATGCAGGCCTGAGTAAAGGTGGAACCAAGAGAATTAATAGAAATATTCTTGTCGTATGACTGTTTTAATGCTCAATGCCGTATTAACTTACTTGGAAGCAGACCAACAGCAGTGCACAAAGTACTTTATCACCAAATGGTGCACTGATGTTCACTAAATAAAGATCGTAAAAGGTGAGTCCGCAGAATAGCATGAAGCCAAATATATGGCTCCAGATGTTAATCGTTTCGTTCGTCCACCAAAATATACTAACGCAAACAACAACACACAAGTATACATAAGTAAGTTGGCATAAAATTGAAGTAAAGTTAATTGCATAGATTTAACCTTTCGATGCATAGTTTCGTTGTTAAGTAACCTCGATAGCCCGTAAGGATGTAAGGATTGAATCGTAAGTATTCCGGTGCCAGATGAAAAGGTAAGAGTATCCTCATTCGATGCTCTTCTTCGGGTGTGACAGGACCTTTGATAGGTGAGTCTCCTAGCTGCTTCGTTCGGGAGAACATTGACTGCAAATCGAAGATAATTTGCGGTTAATTTAATTTACATTTACGCATTAAATATTATACGCGTAATGTTGTAGTATCGTGGATTTGTCAAAAGTGAAATAATTGTGACATATAAAATAAATTATTTGTCAAACTATTTGTATATCGCTAAAGGCATTTGTCGTGGATTATAGTGTGAATGATTTCTTTTTCTTTTTTCTTTTTTTCTACCAACGTCAACCGCTTCGTTAAAATTCTTTTAGAAAATACAGTTTCATGATAGGTTATCGTTAGCTTACATCAACAGTTGGTAATTATTTCTGAAAATATACATAAAATACACACGGGTTATTATTATAAACAACAACGACAAACAACAACAAAAAACAAAACAAAAATTGAATCCCATATTTTATCGGGAAAAGTCAAGTTTTTGTAAATGTACTTTAGCTACGTGTAGATGCTCCAGTGATAATTAAATCCAGTGATGTGACATCCAGCAAAAATGGAAGAAAAAGGAAAGGAAGTAGTCGGTTCACTAGCAGCTGGCCTACTTGTTGCTACATGCGAAATTCCCCCGCTCAATGTCTCGGCCTCTATTGCTCAAGCTAATTGCAGTTGAAGTTATCATTTATTAATCACATTTTAATCAAGTTTTCCGATCGCCGATAAAAGGCACTTTAGCCATTTAGAAAAGGCAGAAGGCGACTTGATTTTCGGTACTTGGAGCTTCGTATTGGCAATTTGTAATTATTCAAAGGAATCGTCGACCGCTCAATCGTTCCACTTTTCACATCGCTTTTCCAAGTGTTACATTACAAATCCTATAATATTTATAATCAAATTTTCATTTATGTATTTCTCAAAGTACACTGCAGAGTAAACTGTTATCACAGACATTGCGTTACACATCTTGTATCCGTCACTAGCTTCGAACATAAATTGAAATGTAATTGACAGTTTACGTACTCTCCGTGCTTTTTTTTTTATAGTTACCATTAGCTTTAATGGTTATTTAAATTATTCTAAGACTTTATTTTTCCTTTTATCACGAGTCAATATATTTAAATATAACTAGCGACAGATAAAATGTATACTGTTAAATTTATATACGACCATGTAGTATTATTATATTTATTGTTATTATTATTATTATTATTATTATTATTATTATTGTTATTGTTGTTATTATTATTAAAAATGAAACAAATTTATGAGGTTTAAGATAAGATACAAACTATTTTACTACAAATTATACAATAGTATAATACGAATAATTTACTTAATGTGCATAGTACATTTTTTTTTTTAAATACTAACTAATTATGATTAATCTTTAATGAATGTGTTGGAAACATTAAAATTAATTTAATACGAGACGTTCAATTTATGCGTAAATATTTATGCAAATACAATAAAAGAAATAAAAGTTATTTGTTTATTAAAAACACTTTGTGATAAATACACAGATAGCTTTTTCTTATGTATATATATATATATATATATATATATATATATATGTATAATTTATTCTCCGCACTATCAATTAATTTTTTCTCTCTTACCAGATCTTATACGCTTATGAATATTTAATAGAAATGTACTTTATAGGAGAAAACAGGTGAATTTAGCACATGTAAGAATATTGATAACTTCCATATCACAAAATTCAGAATATCGCAATGAATAATTAATATTTCAATAAATTTTTATACAACTTTAATCCTAATCCCTATAGTTTTAAAACTTAGCGCACACATATTGATAGTTTTGCATAAACACTGCCATATTTTAAGGGACAAAAGATAAGGTTTAATAGGCTTAAACGTTTAAACGTTATTTCCAAACATTAATTAACAAAATGAATGAGTCAATATCTTATCTCTTATTAAAAATGTAAAATTTCAATAATTTTTATCAACTAATATCTTTACAGCTTTATCGAAGCCTTTCAAAATTTACAAATTATAATGGAATTTCCCGTCAACAAATATTCTTTCCATATCCCTCTTTATGCAATTGCTCTTAAAAGATTTCAATAGTGTTAATTAAACATCTGACATAACAATTAGACAATTTTAATATCATATTCTTTCTTCACTTGCATTATACAATATTATAAGTATGTAAATAAAATTTAAACTATTAAACCTACGCGTTCGCCTCATGGATTTGAAATATTTCCATAAACACCGTGAGCAAATAGGAATTATTTCTTACATCCTATCCGAGTATTTTACCGCATGGAAAATTTAAATTTCAAAGCCATTCATTTTGAAAATACTGCATGGCGTTGCCAACAATATGGGCCGCCGATATTTCCTTGTAAAAAAATACCATCCAGCAGAACCAATCGGCAAGAATATTATTATTATTTAAAAACTTGACATCTGTTATAAGGTCGACCGGTTATTTTCCAATGAATCACACACGCACATTAAATAAATCGTTTAAGATAAATAATAATAACGGAGTGAGTTATCCAACAAAGCGAATCCTCACTACGTAGAGCTTTTCAATTCCCGCTCATCTCCTCCTCTCGCCAATGTCAACTATAAATATTTGCCAGTGCTGTGCGTTCGATGAACCTCGTCAACCGATTTCTCTCTTTTGCAATAGCACGCAAATTAGTTAGTGTACGTCATGACGAGTCTCATGGAACTTCGGGTGTGCGTTGGGAGACAGATTTCTCGCAATTGGGGTAATCGAGGTAGAGCCGAGCACTTCTCTGAATTCATGGAGAACCAGATACATCGGCAGATGCTGCCAAGCTGAAAGTTCGCAATTGTGTTATTGTAAGTAGTGGACGAATTGCCGATCTCAGGGCCGCTGATCTGTTTTGGAATAATCCAATAGACGAAAAAATACCGAGAGCTTTGGAATGTGTCTCACGTAGAAGCGATGCGTGTGAATTGGTAATGATCAGCTGGAATTGGGGCAAACGAAGAGATGAGAAGAACTGACCATGTTGAGGTTGATAATGGCTGTTTTCTTATACATAAGGATGAACGACCATAAAAATAAATGCTCGGCTATCGAAAGCTACGTTTATTGACTTCGTTCTATTAAAGATTACGTATTGGTCGTGCAATAACATGGCAAAATAATTGTGACGTTATTTTTCTCTTATTATAGGTCATTTTTATTCGTCATTGAGGAAAATTATTCGGCAAATAACACAACTGCTTAAAGCCACTGAATTAAGGGATTTTGTATATAAGTACTAGAAACCTTTATAATAAGCCAATAAGCAAAAAGCTGTACTTTTTACATATTTATCGTAAAAGAGTTAATCGTGCTTATAATTAAAGCTTAAGATATTGTTGTAGCTATCCCAAATTTTATGTAATAATATAATTGTTTGTTTGACAAAATAAATGAATGCATCAACTTTACATTGTATTAATTCTCTTCAATTATAAATGAATGTCTCTTCTCTTTCACTTTAATAATACAAAGAAAGAAAACACAACTTTTTTGTACACACATATATATATATATATATATATATATATATATATATATATATTAATATGTCTTGACGGATCTTGTTTCAATTGTTTGTTAAACAATATTGTGTGTATTTATGGATGCGTTTAATGCTATAAAATTGAATGAAAATTAATCAATCAATAAATCAAATAAATCAATTAATAATGTTATAATTACTATTAAATAACGAGAGAAATTGATAGCACAAATCACACATTAAGATACAAGTGAAATAAGCAGTAACCAGGATTTCTAGAATATTTTTAAACTGATATATATATATATATATATATATATATATACATATATTGATGGTTCGATTTAATTCCTATTTTCCTTATTTATCTATTTCCAATCTAAATATGGAAGGCGCTTTATAAAATTCACCTTTCTCCACAGCTTATACGTTGTCGGTTTACACGAACACGGCAACCGAATGAATATAGCCGTGAAAATAATTTAACCTTTACATTAATATTATCATACTTTCAGACTTTGTCTGATGTTTATGAGACTTTGGTCGTAAAAGGGAATTTTCAAAATAAATATAAACAGTGGATAATAAGGCAAACAATCGCATTTGATTATCAAAGAATTTTGGAAAGTCTATGAAAAGTGCCTGCTCGAAGGATATCTCGATCATTCCCAATTTACACGAACGACCTTATATTCAATCGCACGGCCTATGAAAAATGAATAGAGAAGAACGAAATGTCCATCGCCACGGAGATGGTGAACGGTCAGTTTTTTCGTCAATCGAGGCACGACCACGAGTCCTTGGTATGGACCAATAAAAATCGGTCGTCACCTCACACACAGACTACGTAACCGTAGAATCGAGCTTCAACTTTAAGCGCATTATCGCCGTCCTGACGAGGCTCGGCTGCAGTGTGAAAACGAACGTCAGCCAATAATCACTTGGAGCGGCGGGCGCGAACATAGTGAAAGAAGATTCTGTGCAAACACACGCGCGCACGCTCATTATAGAACGAAAAAAAAAAAAAAAAAAAAAAAAAAAATTACTACAAGTGGGTCACAACGGGACAAGTCTCTCGAATCCTTCTATTCGCAATGTGCAGAGAGCCCCATAGCCTCGGGTGTGCTTAGCTTTCTCGAAGCCTCGGCGAGGACCAATTATCGCTACGATATAGGACCTTACCCGTGTCTTCTTATCCAGGCTTTCCCTCCGTCGGACTTCCTTACGCGTTCCTGTTCCACATTTACATGTAAGCTAAGATTTTGGTAATAGCTCTCGTGTCACGAATGGAAGACGATATTGGGGAGGAAGTGAATGGGTGACCCAAGTAGGTAGAAATGCGCGTGAGAGCATGAAAGTAGGAAGCGAGTCCATCGGCAATTTACTACGTCATTTTCTAGAATGTAGTTGTCGCTATTAGGTGCAATAATTGCAGCATTACGCGTGATCCGCCTACTGTGTATGGACATTTATTACATTCGAAAAGGATAATTCAAGTGCGTGTTCTTAATAATGTTGATTGATGCTTGTAATGGCGTAGGTGGCGTAGGAAAATTCGTGTAATAACGTCTTGAAACTGATAGCGTTGCGTCGTAATCAAAAGTGTTTTGCAAATTATTTATCATATTTCAAGGTAGCTCATTTGCGTTTATATAATAATAAGAGAAATATAAAAGAAGAATTCATTTTACGATACAATAATTTGACATTATAATATCTTATTGATTTGAAAATAATGATTCATTCAATATTCTCTTAAAAATCATGTTCTTTTAAATGTTTAGATTTTTATCGAACAGCCTATTTCTCATCGAATTTGAGTTCATAAAGCTCATGAGGCTTTAAGCCTTTGGATTCTCTCTCGAAAAAATCGCGCTTCGACAATTATTTTTAATTTTTATAATAAAGACTTTGTAGTTTTCGCTTAAAATAAGAAAGTTTAGACATTATTGTTGAAAAAAACAAATATAAGCAAAATTCTAATAATAAACTCCAATTATATTAAAATTGGACGTCCGATTTTTTTAAATTAAACAAAGAGTAACGATAAAAATAAATATTAATGTCCCTCGATTATTATACATTTATTAGTTAAAAATATTGAATATATTATGCATATAATGCATATATATATATATATATATATATATATATATGGATAATAAAAGATAAAATAATTAAAGATATTTAATAAGTTAAATAATATTTGGAACTAAGGACATTTTGTTATCGACAGTATTGAATAATAATTTTTGAAATAAAATGTTTCAACTAATATATTTGCTCCAATGTATTTATGATATTTAATTGTTACAATAGTTCAGTGGTATCTTACATATTCCTCTTACGTATAACAATGTAAATAATTCAACAAATTATGAAATTTTTATAATATTGCGTCATTATTGTGATCTCAAATTAACATCGCATTAACGGTATTTAAATCAAATTTAATTGAACGCAACAATAACGAAAGCTAACGTTGTTTTTACTCGAATGTATATAGAACGATAAAATTATTTCTTTATATAGTTTTCGAAGATATATTCAAACCTTCTCTCCTCCCGTCTATCGCACTTTCTTTCACCGAACATTCACCGGCCTCCGAATATTTTTTTTTTTTTTTCCTCTTCCTTTTACACATACATAAATACACATGCCTACGCGAGAAAGTGTAAATAATATTTTGATGATTCAGCGATATTCACGCGTCTCAAGGTTCATTAAAACCTTGAATAAAAGCAAAAGGCGAGCATAAAATAAGAAACGTTGTACTTTTATTCAATAAAAGAAAACATAATAAGAATAACGTCAAAGCAGAAACTCTGATTTTATCATTAAGTCAATAAAGAAACGATAACAATGAATGATTTCTTTTTAAATCCAATAGCTATTTGAATTTCATATCAATTTTCAAAAATGAATCTCAATTCTGGATCTCTATAATTTTACGACCATCGTTTTAAATATTTTCACTAAATGGTTTTACGATTTCTAGAGATGCTGCAATCGAGTGACTTATAGATCTTGGAAAATGTTAGACGGAAAATCAATGTAGACGGAGATGTATTGAATAAGATGTATTCTTAAGGAATTATGTATTCCAATGCCAATTGATTAATCAAGCCTGATTTGGCGTAAAAATTTATATCGCAGTCGTTTTCGCAAGGTTCTTCATAATTTTAGGCTTTAAATGCTAAAAATTAAAAAATTTATTACGAAAAATAATTTAAATCGAGGATTAGAAGAATCGTGTAATAATAATTATTAAACATCTGTATAAGCCATATTGGCTGATTAATTTTTAGTAATTAAAATTAGTTTATAATTCTTTATTAATTATTTTGTAAAAGTTATAATAAATTATATTACTTAAATATTACATGCCTTACTACTATCATTTATCTATCTATCAAGTTTTGCATTTTTTTTTAGTTTTTGTTTTTGTTTTTGTTTTTTTGTTTTTTTTTGTTTTTTTTTTTGTTTTTTTTTTTTTGTTTTTCTTTTGTTTTGCTCTCCTCGTGAACGATCTTTCGTAAACTTTGATATCCGAAATTATTGCCAAATCATCGAGAATATATTTCGTACTTTCTCCTACGGATGCGAGCTACAGATGATTCTACTTTGTTGCGGTAAACAGGAGGACTTGAAACTTTCATTTTCTTACGTTTGGGTCAGTCGGACTTTCATCGATTCGATATTGAAAAGACCAATCCACGAAAGGAATAAATTAAAAATGTTCTATCGAAAGCATTGTCAGCCTCATAATCCTACGCCAGCCCATTACAAATGATAAACTACTATTTAATTCGTTATAGTCTTATGCATTATTAAAAGATTTAATTGTTAACATTAATGGCCTTTCAAATTTTCATCATTAAAGAAAGTACATTGAATTTATAATTACCGTAGCATTTATAAATCAGTTGGTTGGGAATGCACATCCGTACTTATGAGCAAAGAGAAAATACGCTGGAGAAATTGTAGAAACTATTTGTTGCATCTATACAATTAGAACGCCATATTAACCGATGATAGTTTTGCGAATACATTCAGCATGTTTATTCTACGGTGATCTAAACGAGTTGCGACAATCTCAATGACTTATTCGTTGTTAATAAATTTATCATCGACAAACAAATACACAACTCGAAGTCTGCTCAACGAATGCATTTCAATTTGTTAAAGTCAAATAATTCAATAATTATGCTGCTTTTAAGTTAAAATTCATTCATTAAAATTGACAGACATTCAATACCTATTAAAAGTTAGTAAATAATTCTTATAATTATTAAATATATAGTCGTTTATTGTATTATTTTATAAAACAAGCGTATGGATAATAGATTAAATGGTCTGGCGTACTTGATATTACCGTTAAGTATATTTATAATTTATAATATAATCTTCCATTAGCTCACCGACTACATCTAAAGTAATAAATATATAAGAATTTTTCAAAAATAGCTTACTCTTTCAAGCAAGTAGAGAAAAATCTAGCTTCGTTGCACTTACTCTTAAATCTCGGAGAATTACCAAGGATGATAACTTACTTTCACTCCTTACACAATGAACACGTTTCTGGGAAGGTTAAGTTCACAACCATTCAATGTAGCAAAAAATAAGTCATTTATAATCATTTCTCCTATATATATATATATATATATAAGCGGTATTATCATTCCTAATAATTTTCATATTAGTGATTATGTTAAGAAAAAAATATATTAGATTTTATAATGTGCTAGATGTTTCATTAGAAAGATTAATGTTCCGTGTAATTGAAATTAAAAACAATGTTTCCTAATCGAGTGCTCGTGTTATTATTTTTACAAATTATAAGATTCTTTTCCTTTTTTTTTGGGAGGGGAAGGGACGAGGGGAGG